TGGAACATGTTTCCAAGTCTGATGGTAACAAAATCCAAGTATGGGGCTGGGGATTTAGCTCAGCGGCAAAGAACCTGTCTGGCAAGCGCAAGGTCGTGAGTTCGGTTCCTGGTACCGGAGAAAAACCGAAAAAAAAAAAAAGTACTATCAACAAAATCCAAGTATACCCCCCATCAACTTTAAACAATGAAATATGGACATGTTAATATTTTGATTTATTTTGTTGTAATTTGTATTTTGGTAAGGTAAAGGATTGCAAAGAATCCTTTAGTTTAAGGTTATGCCTAATCTCCAACAATAACACTGAAGATGATGCAAAGTAAGCTTTTATAGCTCGGATTCATTGTTTTAGTTAATAATTCAGCTTCACAAGCAGAAAATAAAGTCCCGATTGTCAAGGCAGGTTAGTTAATAAAAGACTAACAATTAAATATGAATACCACATTAGTTTGGAAAAATAATATACTAAATATACAAATTAAAATATACATCCCAAATAATACCTTTAGAACTTCAACGAGACATGTGTATGTACCAACTTTTCATGATGAATGTGCTAATTATGTATCGCAAATGTACTAATAAAAAATTAAAAATAAACATTTCAACTATATGTGAATATGTCTAAAATGATGGTACTTAATATTTTATAAAAATACCACTTTTACACTTGTTTTTTATAGTAGCAACATGCCAAGTTAAACATTTCAAATACCAAGCTCAGTGAACGTCTGTGTCTGTGTATGTCCACACATGCTAGGCACACACCTTTACTACTAAGGTACACCCACAGCCCTTAGTTCTATAAAAACTGGTGTAAAATATTTTAATGTGAAATGACTAATTTGGGGGACAAAAATAAGATAATCAAAATGATATAAATTTCTTTAAAAAGGCCAAGCCAAAAACATAAATTATAAAAGCACTAAAATACATTCCTAATTATAAACTGTTAACAAATATTCATCTTAATCAGCACTTAGCATCGGATTTTCAAAGGCTAATTTCTGGAAACAGTAAGTTTCACACATCTTTTGTTTTCTTTCCAATACATTGAAGCTTGTTTATTACAGGGTGGAATTTGGTGGAAGATGGGTTATTTTGGACCAAGTCCAAGGAGATTTAGTTACTGAAAGCACCTCATTATAAGGTGGTCTTACCAATAGGTGATCCACTGGCTCAGATCCCATGAATATTATAACAAGGCTCCATTGTGGAGTCCAGGAAACTGGGAAGCTAATGGTTCCATCAAATGAAACCTTGCGAAACAAAATTTTTTTTTTCTTTTTGAGACATAAAAATCATTTAGGACTTGGGGATCATAAGCCTTGGTCAGTTTTCTAAATTTCCATTTCCTGAAGTGATATTTTTTATGACTCGTAGCTGCACAGATATTTCACGTTAAGGTTTTAGCTTCCTTAAACATTGTCTGATGTGATCTCAGGTTCTTTAAGTTATGAAAAATGTTATTATACTATCCTCACAAAAAATTGACTGTACCTATAAAAAAGAAACTACCAAGAATTCATAAAAATTAAATTCTTGTGTAGCTTATTGAAAAACCTGAGATTAAAAAGAGCACAAATAATTGTGCAATAATCAAATAAGAAAAGAGACTGCCATCACTTACAGGTGACTCCAATTACCAGGCTTTCAAGTGATTTTTATAAGCACTTTGCACAGTCTTATAAGCAGTTTGAGAGAATTCATATTTTGAATGTGCTTTATCATATGAAAATAATAACACAACAAAGTCCCATTGCAGAAAAATATAATACTTTTAAAAATTAAGATCATAAAAATTTTTTAAAATGCCCTGCGTGAATGTAGGTAGTGCCAAACTTAAAACCATGTGATAATAAAATGCATGGGGAGCATAGTAGAGTTCTCATTAACCTTCCATGCCATTCTAGAAAGTTGAACGATTCATCTAAAATTCAAATAGCAAGTCATGAACGTTTAGTCTTTTATATTATGCCTTGCCTCCATGAATAAAGCTCTTTCTCCAATTAGTGGTTTTCCTAACTCCTAGTTGGTATGCAGTATATACTGTCAGCCTTGAATAAATTCAGTATTACATAATTACGTCCCATGCAATGAACGTATAAATTACCTGATAGACAATTCCTAACTTATCTCCAAAAGTTTAAAAATAAATCAGCCAAGGAATGTTTTCTTTGCTTAGTATCACAGTTCTTTACTGTCACTTGATCCATCTATACCCATTTATATGCAATTAGGGAAGGCTTTGTATAAAGCAAAAAGGCACTGTCAGTAGAAGTCTGATCTAATAACTGGAGACTTGCCATGTGCCAGGTATTCTTGTAAATGTTTCTATATATTTTAACTTATTTAACTCTACAACTATCTCTCTTTTTAAAAAAAGATGTTAGAAGTAATTAAAATGGTCTATCTCCTCCTCTATAAAAACCAATAGTTTACTTCCTGGACTACCACCTTTCTCAAAGCTGTGCTCTAAAGAGACCACAAACCTATTTTCAATAGTGATATCATTGAGCACATTTTTAAAAACATCTTTTAAAATTACTAAAATCTTGCGGAATTTCTCTGTGCACATTCTCAATAATGGAATGCTTTGGCGTCAGGGGTATCAGGTTTTGGACAGATTAAAAAATGTTACCTAGGGAAGAGGATAGAACACTAAGATCTGAGTATAAAATAATATGCTTGATACTTTCATATAGTTTACCAATTCTACTAAGGGAAATTTCAAGTTTTCAAAATGTCTCAGTAGCAGCACTGTTAAAATAAGCAGCTCCCTTTCCAAGCTATGATGTACATATTTGTATGTTCCTTAAATGTAGGTAAGTCAGTTCACCTTTTCTATAAAATGATCTGCTTTACTTCAAGCATTTTCTAACATAAGCCAATGAAAACTGACCCAGTAAAATATAGATCTCTTTATTAATTTTGAAAACTAAAAGGTATTCATATTGCTTCATAGTACTAAATTCCTGATCTCACAAATGAAACTAATTCCATGAAAGGCATGGCATTATTACTATGACTTAGCAAAGTAGAGGCAGAGCTGAGTCTCCTGTCTTAAACTTGGTATTCTTTCTACTACCCAAATATCCCTTTTCTTTTTTTCTTCTAGGGCTGGGGATGGAACCTAGGGCCTTGCCCGTGTGAGGAAAGGGCTCTGTCACTGAGCTACATTTCAGCCCCCCGCTACTACCCATTCAAGATCAAAACAGGAGGGGAGAGAAACGTTTTCACTCTCAAAAAAATACAAAATACGTAAATTACCTTCTAATCTAGTGCTTGGTATTTACTACTAAGGAACGAAGGAAAAAATGTTTATACTAGGTGGGATCTAAAATATTCCAATCTACAGATATAGATTATTTAAATTTCTTTCAAGTATGCTTAGTATTGTAATATCCAATACTACAAAAGCAGATAAGCTATATTAAATTTAAATGCTATCAAAATGAAAGCAAACAAATGCATATACATGTTAACTCTGACACACACTTAAATATTATATGGTTTCTCTCACATGAAAAACTATATATATATATAGAGAGAGAGAGAGAGAGAGAACAAAACAAAAGACAGATAATAGAAAAAAAGAGAATGAAAAAAAAAAAGCTAATCCAGTGTGGATAATGTATCTAAAAGTATACCATGACTTAGTACAATTGTCTTACATGTTTTATATGCTCTTTGGCCTAGTAGTCTGGTATATATGATAATTAACTTTATAAGGTCTTATAACGTAAGTAAATGAAATTGATGCTAGAAAAATAAAAGGAGGGAGAAGAGGAGAACTGAAATGTGTTACACACATGTACCAATGCCCTACAGTGAATGCAATCACTATGCGCTGCAAACATGTACTAAGTAAAAAAAAAAAAGTAGTTTATCCAAATGAATGTAAAAAATATCTGATTACTGAGAATTTTGACTTGATAATAACAGACCATACATATCACTTGACCATCTCATAAAAGTTCCATTCTGGCTGGGGATGACTGTATGTAGCTCAGTGATATAGCAACGACTTAGCATGCTTGAGGCCCTGGGTTTGACTTCCAGTAACACACATGCACACATAGAATTCATTTCAAACCACCCAGAAGTTTAAATACCCACTGAACAGCATGTTTCTTAGAAAAAGTGTCTTTTATAACTATTGTTGATTAGATATATAGTTTCATTGTCTAAAACATAAACATATTCAAAATTCACAGAAAGGATTACTGTCTCCAAAGGAACATATTTCAGCTGAAGTTATATATGCAGGTTTGCTTGTTAAATTTATATATGAAGTTTTCTATCTTAATAATCACATAATTCAAGCTCTATGTTAGATCACTTTTGGGGAGTTAGTGCTGGGGACCACTTCGCACTTTTTACTCATAACGATGAACCTAAATAATTAAAATTGGACACCTGGAATATTTCATTTGGCCTTTTATAACTTTATATAATTTTATGACACACTTGATTTTTAACTTTATCAAACAAAAAACCAAAGCAATTTCAAATAAAAATGAGCGAGAGTGGCGGTACATGCCTGTAATTCTAGCACTGTGGGGAGCTGAGGAAGGAGGATCTCAAATCTGAGCCTAGCCTGGACAACTTAGCAAGTCCTTACCTCAAAATAAAAAAGGGCTAGGGAGGTAGCTCAGTGTGAAGGCCCTGGAATCAATCCCCAGTACTGCCATAGGAAAAAAAAAAATGTTTCCTTAATTTTTCTTACTTTAAGGCAGTTCAATAAGGGATTAAATTTTCCAAACTTTGATTTCTTAAAAAAAACCCTTAGACCAACCTGACATAAAAATCTATAGTGAAACATGGTAGAAATGTGACTAGACTCAACAGCTATTAATCTTCATGTATCAGGATAAAAACAAATGGGTGAACAGGGCTATAACTACAAAATATGAAGTTACATGAAACTGGAAGTGCTCTAAGAAACTCTCTTTCAGACTGATTAAAATGTATTTAGTTAAGTAACACTCACAGGAAAATACTTTGTAAGAATTGCTTTATCAAAACACGAGAATAGTAAAACAGTTCTTGAATATAAAATACTTAAAATCTGAAGACACTGAAAAAGTATATCTCAGATTTGTAAAAAAAAAAAGTCATTTATCCAATGTATGAATTACTTACAATAGTTTGACAAAATTTGACATGTTTTTACAGCTTGACAATTAAGTATTATTACCTAACATCGAGAGACACTGCTTAAAGTTCTATTCCATGAATTTTTCCCAGCACCATTTACACATTTTACATTACTATTATCAATTTTTTTTTTCCAATATGCATGATTCTATTCAACTTTGTATTTGTGAAATCCTTAGTTTTTATTTCTCTGAATCCACTCCTTTAATTTCAGAAAGGTCTCTTGCTAAAATGTAAATGACTCATTACTGAGTCTATCAGTTTCTGCTAGCTCAGTTTTTTCTTCATCTGTATCCTCTGGATCATAGAGTTCAGGTGTGAAATAGATAGACTCATCTTCTTCCTCTGTTTCCAAAGCTCTACTTGGACTGGAATGTTTAACTTCTTTGCTTCCAGGAGACAATGCAATATCCACGTCTGGGGTTTCTTCATAGCAGGGCAGTTGTTTTGAGTCATCTTTTTTAGTAAGAGTAGCATCAATCTTTACTGACGACACAGTGCTTTCTGACTGGGAAGATGGCCCAAATGATGTGTTTGTTGTTAGATTTGAGGACTCATGCTTAACAGTGAGTGGCAAAACTGTTTTACTTTCTATTTTTTCTGCTTCAAAAGTGCAAGCACCAGAAGCATAGTTCTCTGATGAATGGAGCTCAGGTACTGCAGTCTGTATTTTACCAGTAAAACACGGCCCCCTCAATTTAAAGCCAGACCAGCTAATTCTTTTTGTTTGTTTGTTGAATGTTGGGCTTGTGGATCTGGAAATCACATTTTCTTCTGCTTTCACTGCCTGGACAGACTCTTCCAATGATCCTGGATCATCTATGAATACAAAAAGTTAAGACCTTTAACTTTCTGTTCCTAGCTAACATTACAAATTATTAGGTTAAAATTTTTATTAGAAATATTAAACCAACTGCGTAGAATACATAGTTTAGAGACTATAACCAGCAATACTGGACTGTCACCTCAGAATCTGAAAGAACAGAATACTAACTCTGGAAGGAATATCGTATCACCAGGGTTTCCTAGCCCAAGTTATAATGCTGCCCAAGAAACTATCAAATTGCACATCAGGGATCTGGAAGAGGAAAAGGGCTGAGTAAAGGAAAGAACAGGCTGAGAAATCTACCTGGAAATCCACTAACTGGTGATTGAGAAGAACTGCCTTAATCGACAAGGAAACTGACAACCATAAGGCTATGTATTTTCTCCAAGTAATACAAGTAGGTAATATGAAGACTTGTTCGCAAACCTAGGTTTCTGGTACAATAGCCTTGAATTCACTATGACTTTTATTTAGGAGCATAGACCATAGAATAAATGTTTAAAAATAGACATATAAGTTAAAACCTTAAAATTATATCCAATAACCAGAGTTTGGCAAACATTTTCTTCTACAGTCCAGATAGCAAATATATTAGGCTTTGAGGGCCAAATTGTCTCTGTTGCAACTACTCAGTTATGCTCCTCCAGTGCAATACATAAAACGGTTCAACTTTGTTGTTTGGAATATGTAAGGTAAGTCCCTTAAACTTTACGATGCTCTGATATTAACCAATTTACTTGAGCTTTACAACCAAACCTGGAGGAATTGCTGGTCGGTATTTGTTTTTTTAGATTATGATTCAAAAGCACTTTTTAATATTTATATTGAGACAAGGTCTCACTGAATTGCCCAGGTGGCCTTAAACTTGTAGTCCTCCTGCCTCAGCCTTCCAAGTAGCCAGGATTACAGATGTGTGCACCAAACCTGGCTATAATACTTTAGTACAAACCAATATACTTAAAGGAAGTAACCTTCATAATATAAATATCATTTCACTACTATATAATGATTGCTCTATCCAATGTAAATGGGCAGGACTTTTCATACTTTTTTCCTTTCTGGAGATGATGTCATTAGGTAGAGATGGATTTTTAGTAATCATTTTAGGACACTGTAGTTCCTGGACACACATTTTTGCTTCATCTTCCCTAGGATTTCCTGGAGATAGATGACTTGCTGCTTCCAACAAACAAGTAGGGGTACTGTCCTGCAAAGAGGCCACTTCAAGAGCAGACGCACTGTCTTGAGTACATTTTCTGTCCTTTTTGGATACACCCATGACTTTCTGGTGCTTTTTGGAAAACTCAGCCAAGGACTCCAGGGCACTTTCAAAGGTTGAATGGTGCTGAATCTGCTGTCTTACCCATTTAGAAAGTCCTAAAGAAAAAGGAAACCCAGAGGAATATTTGGTTATTCAGTTACTAAGGTCCTGAGACAAAACATACTTTTTCTAATGAAGGCATCTAATTTGTATTTGAATATACAGAATAGTTATGGAGAATATGCACAAAACCTATCATTAGGTTAAAAATATTAAGAGTCACAATGCAGTTAATAAACCTACTCCCCACAACACGAGCGGTTAGCAATATGGTACGCTGTAGCACATCGTGGTTTACCGTCGTGATTACCTGGCTGACGAGGAGCTGCAGCTCGCTGCTGCTGCTCAGCACTCTCAGTGTTATCCCTTGTGTCAGCAGCCAGGAAAATATCAAAATCAAAATCTGAAATGTGGTTTCTGCTAACTGTATGTTGCTTTTGCACTATTGTAAAGTTGAAAAACTACAAGTTCAACCATTGTTAGCTGGAAAGGTTTGTATTCCCTAGTTGAGAATAACTGGGGGAAAATGGCAGATTTAATTTCATCATTACACTATTCCTCACAATTGCTTACACTTTTCACACAGGGAAGCTATAAGTTGTAAATAATACAACCTTCCATTCCAATGTTCTAAATTTGGCTCCATTTCTAAAAAATAAATTCAAGAGTCTAGTCTTAAAGGTTTTCACATGACTGTTCCTCTCCTCTACCAATATCAAATACTTCACAAACTATTCCAAAGATGAAAGAAATAACACTCTCTTGTGGGCAAATCATGTCCTACCCAAATTTTTACTATACAGTTTTAAACATACATAAATAAAATAAAGGCTATGATTTGACCTGTGACATTTGGATACTGTAAAAATCAACCATATTAAAAGTATAAGGTATTTTATATTATGACTCACTTCACAATTCAAAATATTTAGATTTTTACAAAATAAATATTCCCTGACTAATGCCATTAAAACAAATATCTTTTGGAGCAAGTAGTTTTAAAAGTTATCATGGTACTATAAGTTCCAAGAAAAATAAGATTTCAAGCAACCTAAATTGTTATACTTTATTTGAAAAACGTTTCTTTAGATTTTTAATGGAATTCTTCTATAAATTCTCTACTTATGAAAATTTAAACACAAAATATTGCTGAAAAATGTTTTGCTAATAGTAACAAAATAAGAAAACATTTTACATTTTACGAATGCCAGAAAAATACAACTATTTAGAAATATTGGAAAATATTTAATTCTAAAAATCAAAAATTAGAACTCAGGTAAAATTTAAGCTCTAGATTTCAAAAATTTTAAAAAACTGAACAAGCATTTTTCTTATATTTATTTTGTTTGCCTGGCGAAAATGTACCACATAAAAATGTGAAATTATCTAAAACTGAAAAACTTTAGTATTATAATTACATTTTCATTCTGACCTTTCATAATCAAAGAAAACCTTTTTAGTATAAGGTGTCATTGTTTGAGCCAGGCATGGTGGTGCATGCCTATAATCCCAGACTCATGAGGCTGAGGCAGGAGGATTGTTGCGAGTTCAAGACCAGCCTGGGCTACAAAGTGAGCTCAATGCCAGCCTGAATTGCAAAGCGAGACTATCTCAAAACGACAAAAAAAAAATTTTAAAAAAAAGATGTTATTGTTTGCTTTTGAGAACTTGAAAGGATCTGAGCTCCACCTGCTGACTAAACACCAGCACTTAACATTTTTGCTTTTATTTACTGCTTGACCTAAGCCATTGCTTGCTTTACATGAAAAGATAAGAAAAAAAAATGAAGCAAGCAAAATTTTCTGCTTTAATCTTGACAGTTAAGTTTTACTATCACACCAAATATAGTAATTAGACTGAAGTGGAAAATGCAGGGTCCATGCCCAGAGACAGCTAATCTGAAACCAATTTAAAATTTAATTAAAATTTACAGTATAATTAACTTTTTAGCTTCAAGGTAATAATAAATATGCAAGTATAGCCCACAGCTCTTTGATAACGTGGATTCCTGGTATTGTTTCTGGAAGGACCATGTCACTGGCGGGTGAAAATCAAAGGCACATAATATTTATTGAGTTGGGTTGGGGAAAATGACCATCTACTTGATCCTGCTGCAGTGGTGCTTTATGTCCTTTCAGAAAATACTAGTTGTGACTACCATAAACTCTAAAACATCTGAAGCATCTCTAAAGAAACAAGCAAATAAATACAACAAACTTCAACATAACCCAAAGTGAAAAATCACTAGGCAACCAAAAGAGATGTGTTTTTTTACTTAAATGTAAAAATTTGGTATTTCTTCAAAAATTAATTTCTTTGAAGAACTTTTCCCTTGACCATGGTAAATAAAATATTAATATATTATTGAATTATATCTTACATTCTTTGTGATTGAAAAATCCTTGTCTATTTAATCTTTGATAACTAAACAAATTCTCATTTATAAAGAATTTTTATAACTGTGAACACATAAGAGCTAAAGAACTAGATTTCTAGTCAATGGTAATGATTCATGTTTGCTCTAATAATTCAAATTTGCTAATTATCTTTAAAAATAGATGCCATTAAATACGAAAGATTTAAGGTGGTGGAAAAGGAAGCCCCAGACCCACCTTCTTGCTATGAAGAAATGGATTCACTATATGGACCAAATCCCTTTATGAGAAATCCAGAAATCTGTTAAGAGCAGGCTAGCACAAAACCAGCTGTATCAACGCAAGCGAGAAATTTTGTGGCACCTTCTCACTATAATCCTTACACTGGAACAGTGCCACATGATTGAGAGTAAAGTTCCAGCTTCTGCTTTTCCCCGTGGAGAAAACAGAAGGCTGGAGTATATGCCCAAAGCCTTGACTTCTGGAAGAGGCTATGCAGGGCACCTGCTTTTCTGTCTTGTCCTTCTTGAGATGCTGACATGATCTAGGCTACTCTACACGTCCAGGGGCCACTGAGAACAAAAGAGCGACGCAGCTCAGTGCTGCTCCAGAGGAACCATGGTTCAAGAAAAAAAGTGTGACGATAAAGCTCAGTGGCTACTTCAGAAGGAAGAAAGAGATGAGTGTCCCGTGCCTTGGCTTTTCAATAAGCTACCTAGGGGCTGGGTCATGCAACACTGATCAGCCCTGGCATGCTTTACGTGTCTGGACAGTGTGCAGAGCTGAAGAGCTGAGGAGTACGCTGTTGCTTTAGAGACCCCACAACACAGAAGAGTATAATGTCCCAAGAGAAAAACCCCTTCAATTAAGAATCTAATGTGTTATTACAGGTATACATTCCCTAGGATGAATGTGACCAATATGTATGACAAATACGTACTAATAAGCAGAATAAAAGTTTAAAAATCTGTAAACGTCAATCCAGGGAGGTAGAGCCACAGTAAACCTGAGACTCCCAGAACGTGGAGCAGGGCCTTTGAGTGAAAGTCTTCTCTTGTGTGAAGACAGTACGTAGACACTGTGAGAAGGGATGGTTTTTTCAAATGTGTAGATTCCATCACATCGTTAGAGGGAATAAAAAGAAATAGGAGAAACAGCCTATTCAAAGCCTGTTCAAAGGAACAAGGTAAATCTCCAGAAATTAACCCTAAAGGAATGGAGGTATGTGAATTACCTAACAAAAGATTTGAAAAAACTACCAAAAGGATGCTCATGAGCTCAATAAAATGACACAGAAAATAATTGTTTTTTCAGCAAAAACAGAATAAAGAACTAAACTGTTCAGCTGAAAAATGAAGTAACAACTGAAAAATTCACTCAAAGGGCTCAACAGCAGATCTGACTAAACAAAAGAAACAGTGACCTCTTAAAACAGATCATTTCAAATTATCTAGTCAGAGGTGCAAAAAGGACACTCCCCTCCCCTCAAAAAAGCCCTGAAAAGCAAAAAAAGTGAAGAAAGCCTAAGAGTTATGGGATACCATCAACCAAGGCAATATACATAGTCTGAGAATTTAGAAAAGGAAAGGAGCTTATTTATAGAAATAATAAGGAAAACCTTCCCAAAACTGAGAAAAAAACCTGACATCCAGATTCAAGATGACAAATCCAAACAGGATGATCTCAGAAGTCAGTATTAAGATACATTATAACTGAACGGTCCGATCACATATTACCAAAAGGGATTAATCCCTTGAATGCAGGAATAATTCAGAAAACAAAAATCAATGTGATATACCACATTAAGAGAACGAAGGACAAAGATTCTAAGATGATTCAACATAGAAAAAGCATTTGACAAAATTCAACATTTTTTGATGATGAAACTCTGAACAAATGAAAAGTGGAAGGAAATTACCTCAACATATATATCAAAGGCCCACAGTTAATGTCATAAGTGATAGGGGAACCAGATGGGGGAAGGGGAGGGAAGGAAGGGGGTTAAAAAAAAGCAGTAATATGTACATGTAACCACCCCCCAAGATGACCATAAACTGCATGAACTGCAAACATGTACTAATAAAATTAAATTAAATTGAAAAAAAACCAATGCTAGTAACACAGGCTATCCACATACAATAGAACAAAATTAGATCTTTACCATATACAGTACACAAAATTTTACTAAAAATATATTCAAGACTTAAATCTCAATCTGTAGAAGAGAACACAGGGAAGAGCTTAATATTGGCCTTGGTAAATATATATTGGTTCAGAATTACCCTATGACCCAGAAATCCTGTCTTTGCGTTTTCACTGTAGCTTAAAAAAAAAAAAATGGCATGAGATCTGCCTTAATTTTGTAAGTGTACAGTGTAATACTGTTAACTATATGGACAACTGAAACAAGGATTTGGAAGCGATATCTGTACTCCCACGTTCATTATAGTATTGTTTCCAATTTCCAACAGATAGAAATAACTTAAATGTCTATTTACAGATGAACAGACAAAATATGGTATGTATATACCATGAAATTTTACTCAACTCTAGAAAAGAAGAAAATCCTGTCAGCTATTTCAACATGGATGAACCTTAAAGACCATATGTTTAGTGACAGCAATGCAAATGTTGTCTGATTCAACTTATACGAGATATCTGAAGTAGTCAAACTCAAAGAAGCAGAAAGAACAGAGGTGGCTACTAGGGTATGGAGGAGGCGGGCAAAGAGGTACTGCTGCTCAATCAGTATAAAGTTCAGTTATGCAAGATTAAAAACTTTAAGTGACCTGGCATACAATTGTCCATGTAGTACTGTATACTTACAAAGTCAAGAAGGCAGATTTCATGTCATATGTTTTTTGTTTGTAAACTACAATGAAAACACAAAAGATAGTCACCAGCTCTTACTCTAAATCCAGCTGGCAATCTTACCAGATATATAGCGACTTGGGTTATTCCTGAAGCGATCATCCACTAGAATAAGAGCTCCCCAGTCATTTTTGTGTCGAATACACCTACCAAAAAATAGGGGAAAATAAAAAATACATACATCGAATATAAAAGTCAGGTTTCTGAGGGACAGACAGAAAATTACAAAAATTAATGATGCACCAGTTACATGCTCCTATAATCAATTTGAGAAGTTATAGAAACTACCCAATCTAATGTACCAGAGGAGGTATACAAAAAATTCTCTACATTTGACAAGTACTGAAATTCTTATCCAATATGTTATGTACATTCTGTTTTGAAATCTAGAAAATTATAGAAAACGTTTTCCAAGACCTTCTTCCTTAACTACCTAGACCAGTTTTTAACTTTAAGTGTTTTAAATAATTTCAGGTTTTATGTAGCTGTCTTCTGAACAGTCTGACAACAGGTTTTTAAAAAATCATGAATGTTTCATTTGCTCAAAAAATTTTTTTACAATGTAATTAATATAATCATGTAGTTTTTCTTATTTTACCTCTTACATGGTAAATTACATAGGTCAATTCAAATACTGAACCAGCCTTGCATTCCTAGTATAACCTCATATGCTCATGACACATTACTGTTTTTATGGACAGTCACATTCAATTTATTAGTATTTTTCAAAACGTTTGTTTTAAAAAGTTTAAAAAATTTTAAATGTATAAGAGGTTTAATATATTTACAACTCTATACAACATAAACCACTACCTATTGCAGTTTTCATTGTCCTAAAAAAGTAACCCTGTGTGCATCAGCAGTCACTCCACGTTATCCCAATTATTCTCCATTACCTCTGGCTATCACTAATATACTCCATTACCTCTGGCTACCACTAATATACCCTGCAGATTTGCCTAGTCCAGAAATTTCATTTAACTGGAATCATAAAATGTGACATTTTGTATCTGATTTATTTTACTTAGCATGATGTTTTCCAGTTTCACTCATATCATGTATCAATACTTCATTCCTTTTTTAAAATGACTAAATAAAGTTCCTTTATATGGATATATGACATTTTGCTTTCTCATTCAAGTCAGTGGACATTTGCATAATTTCTACTTTTTGTATCATTACAAATAATGTGGCTATAAACATTTGTGTACAAGTTACTACATGAATACATTATTTTCGATTCTCTTAGGTATGTACACAGGAGTGAAAAGCCTGGGTCATATGATAACTATGTTTAACTTTTTTTTTTTTTGGTTTTTCTCTGGTACTGGGAACAGAACTCACGACCTTGCTATGTTTAACTTTTTGAGGAACTACTACACTGTTTTCCAAAGCAGCTGCAAAATTTACATTATCATCACTATGGATGAGGGTTCCAGTATCAGTATCCTTACCAACATCTGTTATTGTACATCTTTTAAAAAAAATTATAATAAAATGGTATTTCATTATGGTTTTGATTTATATTTCCCTATTGACCAGTAACTCAAGCATTATTTTATGTATTTACTGCCTATTTGTATATTTCTTTTTGGAGAAGTGTCTACTCAATGTACTGGTCCACTTTTTAATTGTATATATATTTTTTTACTGTTAAGTTATAAGAGTTTTTTTAAATATAGTCTAGATACTGGATCCTGATATGCATGATTTGCAAATATTCCTTAATACTATCCTTTCAAAAACAAAAGCTTAAACTTTAGGAAAATTTAACCTTGGAGGAAGACTTTCAATTTTTCATATTCAAGTGTGATGTCAGCTATAGGTTTATTGTAGACCTCTTTATTAAAGTGAAGAAAGTAACCTTATATTCCTATATGCTGCAAAGCCTAAAATATATACTGTCTGTTTCTTTAAAGTTCTTTACCCTGTTTTTGTTTGCTCTGTTAGAATTGTTTTGCCATAGTTTTGGGCTGTTTTTCATGCCAGAGACATCTGACTACTTAGCAAAGACTCTGCACTTAAGAGTACGTCACTAAGATACTGGCTGGTAGCTCTGAACATAAGAAGAAAGCTCATAGGCTGGGAGGTTTCGCTGAAGGGTAATTTGGAAGCAATAGGACCACGCTGCAGGCAGTTCTATGGAGTAGTCAGTTTCCCTAAAAAGGAACACGACATATTTAGGTCTAGGAGATATGACTAATTGTTAGCCTACACAGAGCTGAGAACAAGGAAATGGAGTTCTCACAGTCAGTATATAGAATTTCCATACATAGTATGTATCAACCCCCATCTTTGATACTTCCTTAGGTCTGGAATGACACAGACTCTTTTGTTCAGTCTTTGAAGAAGTAAATCTGGGTGGAGAAAGGGCTGTCCATGGGCTTCTTCTAACTAACCTTTCAGCCAATACTCATGTTTTTAATCTTACTTTCCCTGACACCTTAGAGTGCCGGAAGTCCTAAACTTTTCTAAGAATGAACCTGGAGGGTTTTTAAGTTTCATCTCTATAGATTTAAATTTCAGCTTTCTCTTGGGTGCTAGGTCATCCAGTCACTCAACTGTTTTCCAGTATTCAAACTTCAATGACATCTTTTGTCTGCTACTGTCTCTCCTCTCACTCTGTAACGTTTTAGGTTTGACTTTTTATTCCTTTACTGTCATGGGTTGTTTTTTTTTTTGTTTTTTTTTTGGTCTCTTTGAGACAGGGTCTCATTATGCAGTTCATGTTGGCCTTGAGCTCACTTTGTGGCCCAGGCTGGTCTCAAACTCACAGCAAGCCTCCAACCTTAGCCTCCCCAGTGCTGGGATTACAGGTGTGTGCCACCATGCCCGGCTTGTCATGGGATTTTGAGTGAAAAAAGAGTAACATAAATGTTCAATTTTTTCACAAAGACTTTAAAAATGTAAATTTCACATGATATTGTTTTTTGATATTTTTAAAAGTACACTGTAGGTTCCAAGGCAATAGATCAAGTAACATTAGACAGGATAGAAAGAAGATAAATATTGTCAATGCTATGAAAGAGTGCTTAAAATCAATGCAAAGTCAGGATGTCACGCTATTTTGTGTTCACTTTGATTTGTATTTATAGTGTCCTATGTTTGAGGTATTGAAGTTAACAAAACAGTGAAATGAAAAATATTTCATCTTTTTTTCCCATCATTTTCCTATTGCTTAAAAGAATTATGCCTACTTAAGATTATACTTTTAGTAAAGTAGACTGGTGAGAAACCTCATACTGTAATTATAACATGGTTGCAAAACCATCTGGTATGTTTCTGAAGCCTGTTAATGTATTTCATGGACTTATATTAAATATTCTAATAATCCCATGAAGGCCTTAAAAAAAGATAAGATTGAAATATTCAATTAATTTCTGCTTAGTTTAGATTTTCTAGATATACTCGTTATAAGAAGGGTGTCTCAAAGGATAACCATCTTTTCTGGTTTTTGTTGTTGGTTGTTTGTTTGTTTTTTTAAGACAGGGCCTCACTATGTAGTTCAGGCTGACCTTAAACTTTCTATGTACCCAGGCTGGCTTTGAACTTGCAGTGATCCTCCTGCCTTAGCTTCCTGAGTGCTGGGATCACAGGTGTGTGCCACCATGCCCGGCTGATAAGCGCCATTTCTATCAATTAACACGCATTATGAATTTCTTAAATGATTCACTTGAATATTTAAAAATTTTCAAAATCTTAATTATTAAAAGGATATACTCCTTTGTAACAATTGCTACTTGTTGATACTATTTATTGAAAATCAGTAAAATGACAACTGGGTTCTCTATTTAAAAAATAAAAAACAAACAGTACAGTTTAATACATCATATAACTAATGTATGTTTTTTATGTGACCCTAAAAAAGTATGTTTTGAAGTTCAAGAAGCTCTCTGACAACACTGAACTTAGCACTTTTTACTAATCCCACAAGCATTTCTGAAGCATGTGTATACCAAGGTGAGACATGGCTGCTGACGAGGCAAAACTGTGTAACATGCACACAGGGAAGAAAACATAAATAGGCTATTACATTACAGTAAGGCATGTGTCGTAATTGAGGTAACATGTAAAATGCTATGGATTTACTAAGGCGTAAATAACTACAGTGAAAGAAATAAAAGTCATGATGTTCAACTAGGGTCTTGATTGCTAAATTTGCTAAATGAATAGTACCGTAACTTACGGCCAACGCACAGAGTAAGGAAAGGAAGATATGTTTAACAGTTTACTATGGAGGTGTTTGTGTTTAATGGTGAAAACTTTTCTGGTTGGAAGTAAAGCATAAAGATAAAAAAGCAGATCTGTGGTTTAAGAACAGGGCAGGTCAAGGTGTGAAGGGCTATTTGATGACTATGTGACCTTGACCAAGTAATTTAATCTCTCATAACCAGCTTAAAAACAAAATAAAATATTGATTACCAACACGCACTGCTATTAAAGTGATCTGTTAAATGTTTTACTCCAAGTTTCTACTTCTTAAAAAAATAACTAATTAGCTTTAATTATTCAGTATCCAGTTTCAACGTTATCCATAAATATTATCACCATGTGTGGAAGGCACAGGAAAGAATAAATTATAGTCACATTATTATCCAAATCTTATTAAAATGAAAAATGTTTTCTCATCAGTTGCGTTCTTTACATTGAAGAAGTATAAAAAATGATGCAATTTCGAGATCCTATAGGGTAGTATAACAGATTTTGTTCGTATTTGACAAACATAATTTAACAGATACGAAGATTCTACACACCTTCAGTGACTAAAAGTGGACCCTCCGAATAGAATGACTCCTCACACTGGCTGGCATCTCAATTTTGTTCCCTGAAAAAATATGCCTTCCTAGGATTCTAGTTAGGTAGAAATTTACCACCTTTATTTAAAAAGCAAAAAACTAGCAATACTAGTACTACATGTAGTCCTGGTCATAGACGACAGAAATAACAGTTATAATAAATTTTACTTTGCTTACCTACCTAGGGCCTGGTTTAAGGCCCTGTATGCTTGAATTTCATACCACTGGCGGCCAGGTAAAAGTCCTTTCAATTTTGAATGATGGTCATTGTACTGTCGCTTTAATTCAACCTGACAGATTTTTTTTAAAAATGTAGTAGAGACAATTAAAGCTTGTTCAAAAAATTGTATTAATTTTTAACATTTTGACATAATTTTTAGGGTAAAGATGTATTTTATTTTCCAGTACTAGTTTTTTCATTTTATTTTTTATTCATCCTCATATTACTTAAATTCCCTGATGCATATAATTCACTTGAGACAATTTACACACAATAAAATACACACTTTCAGTGAATAAGTACATAACTTTTCACAAATACATTGTTCTGTAATTCACCCATGCAATCATAATTAGTATTTTCATCATTAGTAAAAACTCCCTCCTATCTCTTCTCAACTGATTTCCTTCCTCTACTGCTGACCCTACAACCACCAATGTTTTTTCTGCTTTTTCTAGAATTGCATGTAAATACATATTAACATACAGACTTTAATCATTTGCCTTTTTTACATAGCATAATGCTTTTGTAATTCATCCATGCTAAAACAAATGAGTAGTTCATTCTTTTATGTTTATCTGGTCTGGTCATCTCTGCTCCCATCCCCCAGGATTGAGGCCAGATCCTTGCACATTCTAGGCAAGCATCCTACCACTGATCCATGCTCTCAGCCCTAATCTCTGCTTTGTTTTTTTAAATCTGTTTTTTAACTGGAATGTTTAGGCCACTTATATTTAATGTTGTTACTGTTATGTCTGGGTTTAAGAATATTTTGTTAACTTTTTTCCTGTTTATCTCACCTGCTTTTTTTTTTTTTTGGATCAATAAAAATTTCTCCCATGCTTCCATTTTATTTCCACCACTGGATTTTAACTACCTGTCTTTGTTTTTGTTTTGTTTCTTGCATTTACTAGAAACATTCATCTTCAACTTACCACTATCTACCTTAAAATAGTTTTATACCAATTCCCATATAGTATAGGACCTATACCATAATATATTTCCATTGCTTTTTCTTGTCTTTTGTGCTATCACTGCCATACTTTTTAGTTTTACATATGGGTTTACCTATAAATTCATAAAACATTCTGATTGTGTTTTAAATAAGCTTTAATTTTTTTTTAACTAAAGCTTTTTTTTTTTGAGGTAATGGGGGTTGAACCCATCCTAGGCCAGCACTCTACTACTGGGCCACTCCCTGCCTCCAACCTTTATTTTTGAGACAGGGCATTCACAACGTTGGCCAGGCTAGGACTGAACTTGCAATCCTCCTGCTTCCACCTTTCAAATAGCTGGAATTACAGGCATATGCCACTGCGACAGGATAAATTAGCATTTTTTTCTGAATAGGTTTAGATTTACAGAAAAGTTATGAAGACAGTGTAGAGTTTTCTTGTATACCATTTACTTAGCTCCCCCTAATGTTAACATAGAACATTACTATGGTATATATATCTAAATAAAAAATTAACATTAGGACATCACTTTTGATCTTTATACTTCATATTTCCACTTTTTCTGGCAATACCCTTTTTACACAGTGATTTATCATTTGGGGCACTCATTCTTTCATTATGTAGATTTAAGTTTCCATCTGGATATCATTTTCCTTCTACCTGAAGGACTTCTTTTAACATTAAAATTTTGCTCTGCATCTACACTGTTCTCCTTCTTGGACTTGTATCTTCATTTGGCCATTTTGATTATCCCAAGTGCCAGTGATGCTCTGTGCACTTCTTCCAAGTTTTTTTCACATTTTGTATACTTCATTTTGGATAACTTTCCTTTCTGTGTTCAAGTTTACTGATCTTTCCTTCTACAGTGTCTAACCCATTCAATGCACTTTTGGTTACATATATTGTATTTCTGATATATAGAAATGTCATAAAGGTATTATAAAAATATTTTGCTTGTCTTCTCATCTTCTTTAGACATGTGAGATAGTAAACATAAGGCATTTTAATGTCCTTATCTGCTAGTTCTAACATCTCTGTCATTTCTGACTTTTCTACTGATTGATTTTCTTCGATATTAGAAGTTATATTTTCTTCTTTGCAGATTTGTTAATTTCAGATTGAATACTAGGTATTGTTAATATTACACCAAGTTACAGGATTTTGTTGTATTATACAGTCTTGTGTTTTTTTCTGCAATATAGGTAGGCTCCTTGGAACCAGGTGATTCTTTTGAGATTTACTTCTATTTTTAGGGCAGGTCCAGAGCAGCCATGAGGCTAAAGCTAATTCATCCTCAGTACAAGGGTGAACTCTTCTGCTGACTATATTCAATGTTCCATGTTTTATAAAAACCCCTCAGTGCAGCTGGTAAGAGCACAAACTATTACTGTTTTTTTGTGAACTCAAGGAATTGTTTTGCTATTCCTTTCCCTGGCCTTAGATAGTTTCCTCTCATATATGTGCCAATCAGTACCTTTCCCTTTATGTACCTCATCCTTCTCTGGTACTCTGTCTTACAAATTCTTGCTGCCATGGTCTCCTGCCCATGGAGTCCTCAGACTCCTAAGCTCTGTTTAGGTTTACTTTTCCTTCACCATGCATGTGGCCTGGCCTCTAAGCAACAATCTGATGCAAATGTGAGGTTCATCTTGTTTATTTTTTTCCCCTCAGGAGTCTCAGTCCTATTGTGTCTACTATCCAATATCTAAAACATCCAGTTTTCTAGTTCTTTTAAGCAAAAGAACTTATCTGGCCTCTGTGGTTAATTTTATTTTTAAAAATTTATTATGGAAAAATTTGCCTATACATAAACAGAAGAGACACATGATACTTTTTAACAACCGTTCCTATCACAACAGCTGCTCTAGGAAGTATTCTTTATAAATGAAGTATTTAGAGATAACACAGTAACATTAGATTAAATGAACAAAATTATGACTCACTGGTCTTTTATTTTTCATCAAAAAAATGAACTTTCCTATATGACATATTTCTTATAAATTTTCAAACATATTTTAACAATCCAGAAGGCCTTTAAAATACTGCCAATATTTTACCTGGGGAGTTATTTTAGTTAAAAAAAAAAGTAAGTCATATACTTAACTCTGAAATGTTTTTATTATATATGAAGATTTTTAAAATTAACAATAAAATACATCATTGAGGAATCACATTTAACTAGAAAAAAAACCTAAGCGTTTAAAAAAGATAGGAAGCCAGCACACGTCATTCTAATGATCCCAGAATCTACTTCATTGTAAACTTTGTGATTATCAGGCATAAAAATCAATGCCCAATTTAAAATGACATACAGCATATGTGAAAAAGCCAGTTTCTCCTGCCAGCAAACAGCCTAAATGTTAAGTAAGCCAAAGGCTGGAAGGGATTAGTTGAAATGTCAAAAGACAACCTTTTACTTTTACCTGCTCATCCTTATAAACACATTCTATCCCTCAGGCACGCTTTCCGAAAAACTGTTTCAATGGGAAGCACCAAAAGGCCCCAGGCAAGCTCTGCCATCTTGTAACTGTCAAAGAGATTAGTCTTTGATCTATTTGGGAGGTCATGCCCACATTCACTATTAGTTATACAGTCTAACAACATTATACCTGTTGACCAATGCTTCTTTAAGGCCTAATGAGACAGACATTTCATATTATGGAAGTTAACTGTGAATCCTTTTCCTAAATTTTGACAGAAAGTAAACACCATAAACTGACCTCAAGTGTGGTTTGGAAAGATGATATTTTGGATCATTTAACATTACTTTTCAAATACATTTTATAAGCCTTTCCCAAAATAGAAAGCTTCCACTTAATTGTATTCTGGAAGGAGTTTAACCACTCCCCACGCCCCATCCCTAATAAATCACTATGTGTAGTTTTGGAGAGGTAGGAGAGGTGTGAAAACAGAAGGAAGAAAGTAACTATTTTTATCAAAGGATGCAAATTGAGAGCCCATAGTTAAGTTCTGTGTATGTGCTAAAATCATGAGAATTATCTGCCAACATTCAAAAATTTGACAATTTCACCACTATCCTCAAATAGCTCAAGCATTTAAACAATCTGTTTAACTCACGTAGGTGCTGGAGTTTGCAACCCCTTGGTTCAGATGTTGCATACATTCACACAAGTTCCTTTTCATAAATGGATTTCAAAGTTCACATAAAATGGAAAACACATTAATAATTTGGTAGTTTCTAGACAACTAAAAATGTATCTGCACCAAAGCGTAACCTAAGTGACATAAGAGACACGGAATAGCAAACATATTCATAATTAAGACTACAGCAGTACTTACAGAACTGTGTAAAATATATCCAATAGACAGATAGTATTCAAGCACAAGTGATTTTGTATTCTGATTTTTACCATTACATTATAATATACTTCAAATTAAATATAAGTTCCTTAAATTATCCATGCCTCAATTTTATCAGGAATAGTATAATATATACTGCCTTAAAGCAGTAATTGACAATATTATGAAAAGAATTATAGGGCCAGGGATATAGCTCAGCAGCACAAGCGCCTGCCTGGCAAGTGCAAGGTCCTGAGTTCGATTCCTGAAACCAAAAAAAAAAAAAAAAAAAAACAAAAACAGAAAAGGATTATATTTCATATGTCAACAACAAATGTAGGTCACAATTTTGAACATGATTTTTTTCAACTTACAGTCAAACTAATCAGTGTGGGCCTTAGATAGCTCCGTATAAAAATAGACTCATGTTTTATAAAGTAGCTTCTGAAAAAATGGTGTGCCAAGTATAAGCTTGAACTATAAATGCATATCTTTACGACTACCTTATGAAAGGTGGCAGATTTTTATCCCAATTCACATAATTAAGTATTAAGATTTCAGTAATAAATACGTTCCCGAAAGCAATTAACTTAGGCAGAATAGTTCTTTCCTCTTATATGTAAACTTGAAGCTTCCAAATAAGACAAAGTACAAATAGCAAAACTCACTAATTAAAACTATTAAGAAAACTTTGCTTCAGAAAAATAAACACATTTGTCTAGCAAACACTCAAAAAGAATAGTTTTAACTCTAGCCAAAGTACAGGGCCTAAAACCTAAACATTTATAGCAACCCAATCTGGAAGACAGAGACT